CAAACAGCTCCATCGGATCTTATTACAGGAGAAGCTAGCTCAGTGGGAAATCAGGGTGAAGCACTCACACTCACACACACACACACACACACACACACATGTGAATGAATGAATGTATGACTGGCTCAGATGCATCCATGGTGGATGAATATGGCGAGAGCTCAAGATTTTCTCACATGTTGTGAACAGTAACACAACAGCTGTCACTCACTCTCTCTCTCTCTCTCTCTCTCTCTCTCTCTCACACACATACACACACACACACTTTCTCTGCACTAATCTTTCCTCTTTCTCTGTGAATACCTCATTCTTTTGTTTTTCTCTGTGTCCAGCTGACAAAAGCAGTTGGTCAGTGTAAACACATTTAACAAAGCAGCATGCTGAAACACGCACACACACTCTTCAAGAGAGGTGCTTGAGAAAACGAGAAACTAAAAACACCTGAATAGACACAGATGAAATGTGCACACAAAGACATTCCTGTGTGCTGCTCCATGTGCGTTTGTAAAAGTCGATGCATAACAGATCCAGGAGCTTTTTAGGTAAAAATTTATATAAGCATAGGTTAATGTGAACATCTTGGGCCATGTAACTGGTCACTGTTTCTTTAAACCTTTGCGCAACTTTTAATCACATTTTTTACTTTTAAATCAATCAAATTTAAATGGCCCTGCAGTGAGACAAACACATTTTTAAAGTATTTTAACCCTTTAAAGCCTGCCACTTTAAGTCAGAATCTTTTAATTTAGACAAAACATAAAAATGACTTTGCATCTTTCTTTTATGGCTCATATTGTCTGATATAGTGAGAGGAGAAAACAGCTCTAAAATATGCAATTTGGTGCAGATGCTGATAGGCTATTTATATAATGAAATTCTGATAGTTGTAATGTAAATCACTCAGATCTTTATAACAGTATAACAGATATTTACATAAAATGATATAAATATCGGTCGTCACTCTATATCTCCAATAATATGTCTTGCTTAGTTTGATGATCAAAACATATAATGCAATGCAATCATGATCAAATCATGAAAAAAATGAACATTCCTCAAAAGCCCACATTTGAACATGATTTTTCAAAAAACATTATGAATTCATAATCAAGTAAAGCAATGCTGCT